TATTTTACTATAGCTTTAGAGTCTTATAATATAATTTGATATCTGAGATCTAAAGATGTTTTTTACAGCCATGCCCCGCATAATGACATTTTGGTCAGTGATGAACCACGAATATGACGGCGGCGCCATAAGATTATAATGGAGCTGAAAAATTCCTATCACCTAGTGATATCATAGCCACTGCAGTGTTGTAGCATAACATATTCCTCCTGTGTTTGCGGTGATGCTGGTGTAAAAATATGTTATTGGTTTATGTATTTACTACCCTATGCTTTTTGTCATTATGTTAGTGTTTACTCTTTCCATTTATATTTAAAAAAAAAAAAAAAAAAAGTTTTGCTGTAAAACTCTGCGTCGTGTTACTCCGGCAGCAGGCTCATCCGTCTCACGTTTACCACGTTTTTGGATTACATCATGTTCTCTTGATCTTGTGTTGTTCTGTACAGTAGCATGCTGTATAGGCTTGTAGCCCAGGAGCGATAGACTATATCATGTAGCCAAGGTGAGCAGTAGGCTATACCATCTAGGTGTGTGTAAGTGCACTCTATGATGTTCACGCAATGACAAAATCACCTAACAGTGACTTTCTCAGAATTTATCCCCGTCATTAAGCAGTGCACGACTGATTGGATTTTTAAAATTGCAAAAGATATCTGATGTATTTTTTTTGTAAAAAGTACCATAAATATATAATAAAAATAAAATTTGTTTTCAAAACTGTAAAAGATTTGTATGGGATTCTGCTAGTATTCGATCCAAGCCTCACTTGATTTCCAAATGCCTTACTACAAAATGCTCATAGTGTTATTAGAAATATTCATTTTGACTTTAGGAGTATATTTCCAAAATTATGTAAGAAGGGGGAAGCTTTGTATATCAGTGGGGACAAACTGCCTGTAATTTTCTCTTACACACATTTGGAATGGATACTTCGTATTACTAATCTGTAGTCATTCTCATAATCAGTACCTGAAAAGATTACATGCTGCCTCATGGCTTGGTGACTTTTTATAATTTTATTGACATGATTCACTTGATGTTCTTACCTTCTAATTTATTTTCAATTGGGATTATTTTTTTTAAGTATAAATCTTTTATTGTCATTACTACTTGTAGTTTATGGACAATTGTAAAATTTTCCAGTGTTTTCAAGTTACTGGTGCCAGAAACAGATTAAATTAACATATATTTTCTTATTTGTTCTTGTTTTCTGGTTCATATGAATGTTATATGCATAAGATTACATGCCCACCCTCCAAAAAAAGGATATTGGAAGTTAATTACTTTGGCTCATTATTCTACAGCATTATCTTAAACATGATCAAATAATACTTTGAATCCTGCTAAATTTACAATACTATACAAATAGTGCTATCTACAATGAAAGATTAACAAAAAGACCTCTTTCATCATCACAGATGGTTATAAGAATGAATTTTTACAAAACTGGACCACTTTTTTATCTTTATACCACTATTCTCTTAACCTGCTATCCTATATTTTTATTTTGAAAGAAAGCATTGTGCATGCTAGGAGGTAAGAAACATAAGGAGAGTAATTATAATGAAATTTAAATAATTCGCTTACTGTTTTTTTGCCAATAAAATAAAACATGTTCTCTTAGGTTTTTTATTTAAAAAGCTCTAAAATATGTCTTTCAGTTTACTGTTATAAAAGAAAAAAACTCAACACTGTCATCTTTCCAAATCAAATATTAATGTTTCCCAATAACAGATTTGGCAGTTATTCAGAGGCGAGTAGTATTATGCTTTTTAGATATTCAGATAGCTAAATATTTAGATATTCAAATCTCAACTGCTGTTGATTGTTCCCCAAGTCAGGTCAGATGCAGTCTCTGCAGGAACATTTGCCAGAGGTAGTATGTTCAAAAATGGAAGATTTTTATGTTTCATAGTCAGCCTCACTTATTTTCAAGACCTCTAAATTTTTCATACTAAGTTGCAGCATCTCACTTTATGAACTATGGGGTCTTTATTAATTAAACAGAATCAACAAGGCTGATTTATTCTCTTTCTCAGTTGAATTCCAAGCACACAAATCAGAGAGGAAATATTTCTAATACTAGAATGTTCTCCAACTCAGTAAATCTGGGATTATCTCATCATACTGATTATGTCAAAGCTCTTCGGTTACAGTGCTCACTATCACATAAAATCAAATAGTATACAGACAAATGCCCCATTCTAGCATCATAAGAACAATTCCAAGTTTCTCTTACAAAAATCTGAAAGCCCTAATTATCAATAAAGCTAGCCATGATCATTTATTGAATATATACTCATTGCCAGGCACTTTACATTCATCACCTGAGTTTTAGAAGCATTGGCTCTGGATGTTTTTCCAAAAGACCAGAAGTGAAACATGGACTTGAACTATAGAACACTATTCCCCTGTTGCTTAAGTTTGATTTTTTTCTAGTCAGTAGCTGTTGTAATTGCATGTTTGGTATTTAGGATTTTTTTTAAATGTACAGAAAAGCATATTGTGAACATAAGATTAATTAATTAATAATTTATGGTATTATATTTGTATTTGGAGTAAGATCAGATATTGACTTGTTGCTTAAAAGTGCTTAATGAAAGTTATTGGCAAGGATGACTTTCTGGTGGAACTTTCTAATATTCATTGTTCAGAATCTATAACTACATATTTTTCTTAGACAATTTGCTTTTGATTATTTTAAATGATCAGTTTAATGGAATATTCACATATGGGCAATTATAATATTTCAAGCATGAGAATATTATTTTTTTAAAGTCAAAGAGGAAAGCATGCACTTATCCTTCAGGTAATTATTCCTGTTTTTCTTCCTTTCCACCCTCCCCAATTAGGGAACATTGTAGAGGAGAGAGTATTTGTAATAATTTAAAGTCTCTTTTGGAATAACATTGTAAATGTGCTGATAAACATTAAAGTATATATACCAAAATTTTAAAATTAGAAAAACTGTCTCATCAGGCTTTTACCTTTTTAGTTTTAAACATGTATTTTGTATAAAATAATGTGTCCTCATTTCACCTTGCAGTAGCATTTTAGCCCACTTATGTTATACTCATTAGTATTTATTTAAAACCACTTTCAATTTAGGCAGCTTTCCAGCTTTATAAAGGCCTTGAAATGAAGTTAACCTGTGCAGAGACAAATGCTTTAGTAGGTTTAGCCTCCATAATTAGAAATTCCATTAAATTGTTGTAGAGATAATAGTAACATGGATTACTGTGAAGAGAATAATGATTCTTTGTACCACTTAACTGCACTCTGAGCTTCTAAAACTATGAAGATGTCTGAAGTCCGGGCCTTACCACCTTCACCTTGATTCTTACCTAATGGTGAAACTATCAGTGATCTTCTTCCATAGAAAGATGCATTTTTAATACTTAAACAGAGAAGTGGAACAATTTGTATAAAAGGGTATGGACAGAATTTAAGAGTATAGGATTGGAAACCAACCAAATCCAATAATGACAGTGAAAGCAACCATTTGTACTAAGTCCAACATTTCAGTTATTGTCATCAACAGCCAATAAAGCAAGTGCAATTTTGTGATAATTCCCAAATTGTGCTCTGCAGAACACTAGCCCTATGTGAGTGCTGATAGGGACATGTTAGTTTGAGGAATATCACATACTCTTGGAGAGTCATAGAACACAGTAGTATATTTAAGGCTCTGGGAAATACTACAGTAAAGAAACCTACTTAACTATGTTAAACCTAGTGTATCTCAGACTTTGACCGTAGAATTCCCTCTTCACATAACATTTATTTAAAACCCTTGGAATACACTTTGAAAAATGTTACCCTGTAGTGTAGGAGATACTTTCATTCAGATCCTCAATCTTATTTGATTCTCATAAGTGCCAGTCCTCAAAAGAACTGCTGTAAGATATGATGCTGCTTCTGAGGTTGAATTTGAATAGGTTGGGGCAGGACAAACTGTGCTAGGATGGATGAGGTCAGTGGGGTCAATCAAGGCTAGAAAGAATGTCCAAGGAGAAGAAACAAATCATCCTAATTTCAGAAGCTGCCTGTCCAAACTCAGGAGCCAGGCAGATAGTGGTGGGTTTATCAGATTCATCTGTCTGAAGGCTGGGAGTTGGGTACCAGGTCTGAGAAACAAGCTTTGTGATGTTTCACCACTACCTGAGCATGCCCTGTATCTCGTGTTTGTCCATACCTCTGTTTGTGTTCTTCCCTGAAATGTCTAGTCATTTGTTTTGAGAACATGTTAGGTACCATAAATCCAGCATAGTTACTGCCCTTAAGGAGCTTTATATGTAGTAAGAAGACCTAAAAATAATAGGTATTTATAATATAACATAATTAGAGATAAGACCATGAGCACAGATTGGAAGAATCTAGAGGAAGATCTGGTTCTTTACAATTAGTATGAGTTAACTAGATTAACAATGTGGGAAGAAGATAGTAGCAGAGAAAAAAGTACTGTTGAAGCAGGTTAAAAAAAAAAAAAAAACAAGGTATATTTTACTGTAGAGTATGTATTTGATCGAGAAAACATTGGTTTGCACTGAATTTTTAGCAAGTGAGCAACAGTATCTGATTTGTCATTAGAAAGATCTCTTGACTGGAGTGGAGCCTGAATTAGAAAAGAGCTAGAACAGAGGCAGAGAGACAAGCAATTTCAGTGACCCAGGCTATAGCATTGAAAAAGGAGAGGAAGGAGGAGATTCCAGAGATGTTACAGCAAGACAGTCACAGGACTTGCTGACTGAACGGATGTCAGGTAAGGAAAAGAGAGGAATCAAAGATGAAGAATTCTCTTGCACTTCTTTTTACCAAAGAAGAAAAAATGAAATGTTTTTTGTTGAACTTTAAAACATGTCTAAAACTTATTGAAACAATTGGATCCAGTTCCAGTTGCTTACTGCCATAGGGCAGAAAATGTCACTAGGATCGTACTTGCATGGATGGGTAGAAGGACAGTCTTCCAGATTGTAATTGCATTCCTTGTTCTCCTCAAGTCACGTAACACAGACTACATCCTGGATCCATCCTGTGATGAGTGCACTGAACCTGTCTTGCTCAGAGGAGAATGAAGAGGATTGCTCCAGAGAACTTCCTGACCAGAAGAGTTAATAGTTTTCTGTAGGAGGTTGAGCGCCATGGTCTTCTAGCATCTCAGTCCACGCAGATGACTCTGAGACTCAATGGTCTAAAATAGGAGTAAAACATACTATTTATTGAAGTTGTGAAAATGGAGACTCTGGATTTAGCCTATTTTTGTAAAACTTTTTGATATAACTGTATACATTTATTCACGAGGTCAGTTGCCACTATAGTAGTTCTTTAAGAATAATCTAGTCATATTTTTTTGAAATCATATGTAACTAGTTTTTTGTATTATGTATACTTTTTCATATGTAATTAGATATTTGTAATTTTATATACAATTCTTTATAGTGTATCTGATATAATGATTTTTATAACTAAGACTTACGTTGGAAAATTATATGAACATAGTGAAACACTTCATTTATTTGATAATTCACCAACCTTTTATATTTGTATGATAGGAAAGTGATTTAAGAAAGCTGTTGGTGTTTTTTAAAGAACACAGTTAGACAGCTATCTCACAGGCTACTGAATACAGTCTGCATTTTTATGGGGCTTTCTAATTTACATAATGCTTTTCAGACCCTGTTTTATTTAAACCATATAACACGCCTGTGAGGCACATCCAGTGGGTAATTTCTATTCTTGTTTTTCAGTTAGGGAAATAGTGGTTCAGAGAAATGAGGCGCCTTGTCCTGGAGCCGAAACCCATACCTAAATCTTCTGATTCCACGCCCAGGCCTCTTTCCACTGCACCCTGCTGTCCCAGCAGAGGGAGGTTACAGCCCAGCACGCAGGGCACCGTGGTTCTGTTGATGCAGCTGAGCTCCACAGCTGTGCACTACGGTGGCCGCAGAGATTCAGAAGGCACCTTGAGTTAAACATGACCCCCACATAACCCCACTGTTCTCCTATAAACCCAACCCCCTTCTTCACCCCAAACCCTCCCCAGGTAAGAGCATGGTTTTGTGAATTTTCAACGGGCTTCTTGCAGCTGCTCGCATTCTCCCGAAGTAAAAGGGTTGGCTCACATCAGGGAATCTCCCTGCTTAGGTTGCCCTTGCCAGAAGGAGCAGTTGAGGAGAGGTGATGAGAAGAGGGGCACCCAGACTCTCCTCTGTTATTAAAGGAGAGACATCCTTGGACTCTTCTGCTGTGAGTCCAAGGCTGGCCTCATTATTGCTGATATCACCCTTCAAATTAATTATACTTTTGATCTTATTTTATTTTACAGTAAGGATGTTACTAGACAGTTTCTTTCAGTAATAAGCCATTGACTTGGAGTGCTAAAGATTTTCTCTCAGTTTAATGATTAAAGCCTGGAGCTAAGAAATGGGAGGGTGGAATGGGGAGAACATCATTTTAAATGTCCTGGGCGTTAGGTACCAACTGAATAATAAAAAGGCACTTATTCTTATCCAAAGTTTTATTTTTAGGTAATATACTTAGAAAGTAAGAGTCATTCATCAGAATCCCTGTTCCAAAACCATACCTGGTAACATTGGGAAGCCATTGTTTGTCACTCTGGCCTATTCTTTTCTCTCTCCCGGCCCATCACTAATATTCCTCCTTCTTCTTATCCTCCTCTCCTCTTCCCTCCCTTCTCTTGCTCTCCTTCTCTCCCCACCTCTGAAGTACAAATAGGAAAACAACACAGAACTTTGAGGAACCTTGGGGATCATCAGATTCAGTGATTTACAAACATTTTCTGCTGAAAAAGACTCATTTTTCAAATGACTTCTTATGCAGAATCCCAATATATATTAACAGATTTAAATATATATATATATTGCTGCTCTGCTTGAAACAAGGCCTGGAGCCCAATGAAAGCAGCCCCCAGCACTGCTGTGCAAACCTGGGCTCCTCAGGATGTCGAGTAAGAATCATCAGTCCTAATTGTTTATACAGTGAGACAGTTAGTGGCCAGGGCAAGATTAGACCTAGATCCTAAGTCTCCTGGTCTATTAAATTTCATATGGCATATAATATAGATGTCTCTCATAAATATATGTATACATTGTGTTCATCCATACATTTCTGACGATATGTAGGATTTATAATTTATGTCTTGAATTAAATAGCAAGGTCACATCAGACTGGTAGTCACCCATTAGCCCCGAGAAAAGTTTCAGAATGGCTGGAGAAGACTTGTGTTTCACCTGACAGCTCGTTGAATATTAGGAAGCTTTAACAAGACAAGTTTTAAGAGAAGCCCCTGAGGGAGCTCCTTCCTTGTATCCCCCAGAGGTGAGATTCTCAAACACCTGAAGTTACTTTTATAAGTTCGTATGTATAATTGTGAAAGTACAGACTTTTCGTTGTTGCCAAATTAATGGTATGAAATTTCCTTCCCCATTCTGAGAGTGTTTTTCTCATTTGTTTCTAGTGAGGAAACACGGAGGAGATGTGACTAGAGTCACTTGAGATCAAGGTCCTCGGGCACACATTTCACTGACAGACACCTCATATGTTAACTTTGCTGTTTTGTGCCACTTTACTCTCTGCTTCTGTCAAATACCTAATGAAAAAGGCCTATAAAAATTGTAATATTTATTAAGCATTTTGCGCCATACATTATGATTAGCAGTTTACGTATGTTATTTCATTATCGTCTTAAAACAACCCATGAGGCAGGAATTATAATTACCTTATTTTGTGAAGGAGAAACTTAGGTTTAGAGAGAGTTGCTAATCTTTGCTTTACAGTCACACAGCACCTACATGTAGAAGCTGGGTTTAAGGCAGGTCCCACAGAGCCAGTTTTGTGCAGAGCTTAGATTTCATTGTGTGTGATTCTAAGGGCGGAGCTGGGATCTGCGGGTTAATTTTACAAAGAGGCAGGTTCCGGTGCAGTGAAATAAGGAACTTTCTGGTAGTTAGTGCTCAGGAAGAATTTCCCTGAGGAGAATGTGGAAGCCCTGTTCCAGGTGGCGTTCAGTCAATCTGAACTCCTTGCTATAGGAATGTTGCTGAGGATGTTCAGCGTCTGAATTGGCTGGAACCATTTGAGCAGTCTCTGAAATCCTTTCCTCTTTATGCTTCTGTGGCCTCTAAACCAACAGATAAATGCCCTAAGAGATGCTCAAAGAAATATATGGTGGGGACTCATTAAGAATTTTTTTCCATTGCAGAACAAACCCCAAGTTATTATTTGGTGAGTTGACGTTTACATAGCTAATCTTTCTTTAATATAAATCAACCCTATCAACATGGTCACTGTAAACTCTTCTCCATTGACCTACTGACTCCAATTTTAGGGTTAGAACAATGTTCTCAGTGTTCTATTGTCCTTCCATCTTATACTAAAGAGCAACCAGGTTTTGCCATCTTTATTCATTCTCAGAATATTTCCTGAGCACCAACAGTGAGCCAAGGAAGCGCTGTGTTCGGCACTATGGTGAAGTCAGCCAATTAGCTTGCCACTTCCTGGGTTCTGCTTATTGTTGGTAGAGAGTAGAAAGCTCCTCAGGTGGCCAGAATTGAGCAGCTCCTCTTAAATTTTTGAACTTTAAAAACATCTATTTCTATTTAAAAAAATCAAGTAGTATAGCATTGAAAAAAGTAAAAAAAGAAAAAGAAAAAAAAAATAGCCCATCTCAGTTTCCAGAGATAGCTAATATTAATCACTAATATTTGATGAGAATTTTCACTTTAAGGAAGTCATACTATTAAGCAGCTTTCTTTTGACTTAATTTACCGTGGTCATTATTATTTTTATGTGAATACATAGGTTAATGTTTTATTTCAAATGTCTGGATAAAATACTACCCAAATAACTCATAATTTCTGTAGCCAGCAATCTGTCTATGGACACTTAGGCCGTTCGAAGTTTTCTTCTGTTACTAGCAATGTCACAGTGAAACTTCTTATATTTAAATTTTTATATTCATTAAATCCTTTTCCTCATATACCTGTCTTGTGCCAACATGTCTATAGTGGGAATACATTCATGACGGTAAATTGCTATGTCAAAGATATGCTCATTCTAATTTTGGAAGGTATTCATAAATTTTCCTCCGTAAAAATAGAACCAATTTACATTACCACCAATAGTATATAACAGCCTCTTTTCTTTATATTACAGGACTTGTTTTGGTCCTAAGACTGCCAATAATGTTTCCAGTTGTTTTTGTCTTCGGAAAAGTAACCTTCTTTCATCATTGCCTAAGGACCTGAACTTTTTCATTATTAGGTTTCAGTTAATTGTCCTGCAGCAGCAGAGACTGACTCGCTGTGTAGAGAGGAGTCTGGCGGTGATGAATTCACTGTCAAACACATTGGTGCTCTCAGCTTTTTACCTGAAAATATTGACCTTTCCTACTTTATGTATAACTGTGATGAGGACCAACTTTTAAGTGATAGCCCTTGGAAAAGTACAAGGCACAATGCAAACTGACCTACAAGTTTTTTGAGCCTCAGTTTCCCCATCTGTATAAGGAGGATAGTAATACCCTGTCTCTTTCCAAATCAGTTCAATTCAGCAACCATTTCCTGAGCACCTGCTAAATGCCAGCCAGACAAGATGCAAGGCTGTGAAGTGACCACACTAAGTGGTACTGGTTCCCAAATCAAGAAGCTCATAATCTAAAACCTTTTTCCTTTCTTTTCTTTCTTTTTTGTTTTCTTTTCTTGCAAAAATCTTTTATTTTTTCCTGAAAGGAGTAAGAAGTTAGGGGTTTGTTTAGTAAGAACCCCTTGAAGAGAGGCCCTTTATCACTCTCTGAAACTTAAATAATTCCAAAATAATATTAACAACACCCCTCGACTAGAAATGAAAAGAAACATACTGTATGAAGGACCTCTCCAATAATAAATGCAAAGCAGCTGTAAAAATATAGAGTCAAATGATACTTTCATAAAATGTTTTCAAAATTAGAAAATATTATTCTTTAGGGGGAAACGGGACATTTTTATTTTCTCTGCTAAGTACAATGCAATTTTTTCAAGGGTCAGCAAACCTGAATTTTACAATTTATAGAACAGAAAGAACTGAGCTAACTTTAAAACTCTACTAAAACTGATGTACTCTACTACGTATAATTTTGGAGATGATGAAAAGAACTTTAAACAGACTATGCCTATGGAGCTTAACTTTAGAAATAAAATACCCAAGATGTTTTAACCACAGCTATCCACATATAGTTTCATTGTACCTGCATGATGATTATGTAAATATTAAATGCAATTCTGTATTTGCCTTCTTCACTTGAGTTTTTTACATTTGACTACTTTGGTTAACTTTTTATTTGAGTTTTACTCTTGAAGTGGGGCATCTGAGGGAAAGTGCAGTCATATTAATAGCTTGGACCCCCCCCCCCATTCCCATTCCCTCACCACCAAATTCCTTTTTATCACTGCCCTGTTTATTTCCTTTACATTATTTATCAATTTGTAATAATATTTTGTTTATCTTATTAATAATAGGAGTGATAATAGGAGTAAATTCCATGGAGGCAGGGATTTCTCTGTCTTGTTCACTATTGTATCTGCAGGACCTAGCACAGTGCCTGTCACATCGTAGGTGTTCAATGCATACTTGCCCAGTTGAAGGCGTAATGTTCTGTCCATAGCTAAGACTTAGTATCCAGCTTAACTCTCATGCCTTTGTATTCATTTATTCATTTTAAACACTTACCAAGTACTGCTAGATGCCCGACACTTTGCTAAGTACCAGGGAAGCAATGCAAAACAGACTTTGTGATCCTAGCCACAATGTCATTATATTTTACACAAAAGACTTTTAACATAAATCAACCAAAGCTTTTCCATTTATTTCTTTCTCCCCGTTTTTATCCCATATTTAAACTTCTAGGCCATTAAATGTTCATTGCTTCAAGAAAAGAGGTGTGACAGCAGAAAGAGGAATACATCCTCTCTGAGTTTCAAAAATCTGGCTCCTTAGGGAACTGGAAAGAATGCATGATTTAGATCAAAGATTTGAGAGCCCACATAATGAGGAAGAACAAGGCTTTCCTACTCCCTGTCTGGAAAATAATTCCCCTGACTGGAAAAGAAGAGAGACAAAAATCTTAATGGGCTTCAGAGAGAGGGTCGTAGGCCACAGCTCCTGGAGCCACCTTCCTGGCAGCAGCAAAATCCCAGTTATATTTGTTAGTTCTGAGAGCAGTAGAGACACATTCTTCATTGTACCCTAGGATGGAAATGATTGTGTGGTATGTCTAGGGAGATGGGCCTTGGACAGCTTCAGTGATCCTCCAGCCCAATGTGCAAATTAGAAAATGACATCGATTTCCATGAGCCCAAAAGAACTGTAGGAGTAGCAGGAAGACCCTCTGGTCTCGAGTGAGGATTTTTTTTTAATTGGATCCCCATGTCTTCTTATTGAAACTCAGTTTGGACAGTGACATCAGACCCTCCAAACCCAGAGTGACTTTGTACTAGATGAGCATCCCAGAGTTCAGCAGTGACTGCATTAGTGTTGGTCTGGATCATTTATTCCCTACTCCTGATGTTTCCTTCCTCATGGAGGGAGCTGCTTTAGACTAACACTTCTGGCCTCTGGACTCCCAGTGACTTACATGTTCTGTTTCTAGAACATTTCTTAAATACATTCCCTTTTCTCTGTTCCGTGCAAACACTACCTACTTGTTTTTCGTATTTTTCTCATTTATATTCTGGATAATTGCACTGTAGGCAATATAACTTCCTCCCTCTCTACCACCCCTGTCCTCACCGATCTATCCACCATATTTCCATCAGAATTATCTTTCTAAAACACAAATTTGATTCTGTTGCCTTCTTGCTACTCTTCAGTAGTTCCCTAGCACTTGCCATTGTCTGACCTCTTCTGCTTTCTCTCCAGCCTCATTTTTCATCCCCAACAATCATTCAAACAGACTGTTTGTTCTTTCCATCTCAGGAACTTCTTCTGCTTCATTACATCATCAGATTTCTTCTCCTTCAAGACATCATTCTTGATTCAACTCTTCTGTGAAGATCTTGACACGCTCTCTTCCCCATGCCCAGCACTGGCTCTCTAAGATGCCACCTCTGCATTTTTTTCCTACATGCCCAGACCCTCTTCCCAACTTTGGAGTGGTGGAGCAAGAACTTCCATCCCAAAAGGTGTTGCTGACCTGTTTATCCAGAAATGCACTAGGTTACTACATATATTTGCTAATTTATTTTTATCTAGTGAGCTGGATTACTGAGTCTTAATGGCTTGAAATCTGGTTCTGTTTTCTCTTTTGTGCGTTCTCTCTTCATGTGGTAACAAAAATCTGGTTAAAGCCAACTACTAGTCTCTCCCGCTGTGTCTGTCCCACTCGACATCAGTAGCTAAGCTAGTAAATCAGGTGGAGCTGGGAGGGAAATGGGAAGATAGGCAACTGGCTCAGATAGTCTAGTTTCTTACTTGTACTGTTGCACTGGGGTGTTTTTATCCAGAACTCTGGAAGGTGAGATGGTTAACTGGGAGGAGCCACACTCCAAAATCCTACCTCAGCCTCCATCCCTGCACACCTCTTAATAAAGCCTCTCTCACACTATATTTGCATTTAATTTGGCCAAGAAAGGGAGATGTCTCTCTCCTATTAGACTTTGAGCCCCCTGTAATTCACAGTCTATGTATTATTTTTCATTTCTTGCATAAGACACGGCATAATGATATTTAATAAATGTTTACAGAATACATTTTAAAAGTGGTTCATTGTTTCCAAAAACTTTTTTAGCTCTTTCCTGCTTCTGGCAGGTTGAAACAAAGTGAATGAAAAAGAAAATGGGATAAGAGTTTACGCATGTCTACATTAACTAGTTCTACTAACACTGGAACAATATAATGAATTTTGCTGAAGAAGGAATGTATGCTATATAAGTTTGGCCATAAAACTGTGATAGCAGTGAGGTATGGTAAAGCACATACTCAAACACTGTTGATTTGCCCAAGGTTTTGAAAAAATAAAACAGAATAATTTTGGTATGGAAGGGTAGATAAAGCTTAAAAGAAAAATACAAGGCTAGTGCATTTCAAGGCAACAGCGTTCAAACTTCTGTTCTTATAGATTAATTCATCATGTTGCTGAAGAATTCATTTGGCACAAGGGAGCCGTGTATTGATTGCCACAGTACTTTGATTGAAAGTGCAGAAATTATCTCATCTATAACTAAGCCCCCTGGAATTACTTGACTGTTGCTATTTCACAATGGAGAAATTCATCTTTCATCAGCAAAATATAAAAAGGAAAAACAGGAAGACAAAACAAACGGGGTGGATAATAAAGTTACCTTGGTATATAGACAGTTCAGGTCAGGTATTTCTCTGGAATGGATTGTGAAAAGGTGTTTGTGGGTAGATCCTATCCCTATATACTGAGTAGTTTTATCATTCAGGGAAATAATCCATGCATTTAATCTAATTCCAACTTTTTATTTTTGCACGGTGATCACATGAGTTATATATAGTTTTGTGATCACCACAAAAAGAAATTTAAAAGTTTGCACCAAATTAAATGTATGGAGCACTTCTCTGAATGGTAAAAGTGCTTACTATAAGAAAAATCTGAAGGAAATGGGGTTTCTTATTCCTCCAAAGTGTGTATATGTCTGTGTGCATATGATACATATATACACACACACATACGCACATATATATATGTGTGCGTATGTGTGTGTGTATGTGTGTATATATATATGTGTGTGTGTGTGTATGTATATATATATATACATATATATATCACATACACGCAGACATGTACACAGTTTGGAGGAATAAGAAACATTTAATAGACTAAAGTCTACAAAATTTCAGATCTATGACCAAACTGGTGATTTCTTACTCATCAGTGGAACCCCTACTGTGAATCATAGAAAGTGAGAAGTCTATGCACTTATCTCAGTTTTCTTGATATTGCTAAGATTGTTCCTTGATTACATTCCTTCTGTCTCTTTGAATACCATATTCCTGATTAGTGTTTCACCAAATTTAAGACTCCATCAATTATAGGACTCACCATTATTTTATGTATCCCTAAATTTGAAAAAGACATTTAAAATATGACATAGTACTTTGAATTTTTGTCTTATGGCCCTTTAAGTAAATCTAAGAGCTTTTTGAACATATATTTTTATCAGGTGTTTATATAAAGAAAAATGAAATACAAATAAATTGTGATATTCCTAAAACTTCTATATATTTAGAATGGAACTTTTCTGAATCTCTATTTTGAATCAGAGTTGCCATCAACATTTTTCACAATAGCATTCTTTCTGCCAGCAAATGAAGCATTTCTTAAAGGAGTGCTCCACTACTGTCTCTGGGATTTTTTTCCTCTAGTCCTTGACATCTATTTTGATGCCAGCATTTTTTTTTTATCTTTCAAAAGAACTTAATAAAAAATTTTTAGACAACAATCAGGATTCATGTTCCTTTCTCAAATAGTCCTTACATACTTTACGCATTGAAAAATAGAGTAACAGTCCATTCATGCAACAGGAAAAACAACCAAGTTCATGCATGCACAGGCAAAGACAACTATATCATTATGGTTGCCCAGTCAACAGCAACTGCAAGCCATTGATTCTAAGACACATCTTGTAATACATTTAGTTCCCCTGAGATGAGTATTTGTGTGAATTAAGGAAAAAAACAGTAGGGAAATAAAGAGGAGAGGGAAAAAACAGATGAGGGTATGATGCCAAGCAAAGCCCCACGGGGGTTGGGGCAGCAGGGGGAATCAGGGTGGGGGGAAGCTCTGGAGACAGTGCAAGTGCTACCTCAGCTGTCCAAGTCAGAGCTCAGGGGGCTGTAGTATTTACACTCCTGAAACATCAGTCCTTGGTTAGGCATGGGAGGCTCGGGAGCGAGACATAAATTTCCAGGTCCTTTTAGCTCTGCGTAGGCAAAGTGGGTTCTTGCAGCCCTCCAGCAAAGAAATGCAGGGACTGAAAACACATAGGGCTGATGTTCATGAGAGCGATAGAGGGGTCCAAGAGCACTGACAGTGTCTGCTACACATTCCCATTCCAAAGACATTTAAATATGAGAAGTGTGTGTTTTAGAATTGATGAAATATGGAATTGAGGATCAAATGTCTTTGTACCTGGTTTATCCCATAGCCTCCTCAAAATTAAGTTAAAGATGAAGTGCCGTAACATGAAAACGAAATGGCCTTCATGAAAAATTATTTAATTTAATCACAATGGTTTTAAAACCTCTTTCTAAAAATCCTAATGA